TTTTGTACTGGCTCATACTTCGTGTATGAGCTGTCAATCGGTAAATAAATATGGAGCAGGCCATTGCTATTGTAGTACAACATCGAAAAAATGCAATTGCATTATTTTTAATTATTAATAAATTACGATATTATCGACGTTTGTGGAGTCAATTATATCAAACGTCAGAATACGTCAAACTTTTTTTTATTTAACCTAATCCTAATCAAGTTGTACAACTTTGTTTGGCTCTCACAATGAGCCAGGACAAAACGATGGAAGAAAAATAGCACATGTTCTATCATGGAAATCCAGCAGATCTGTCAGCAGCGTGACAAGCAAACATATAATTTCTAGCACAATTGTTCACACGATAGCAAGCATACAAGCCAGCTAGCAATCCGGTAGGAAAAAAGCATCGTGTGCCGCAGGCTTTAAACATTTAATAAAATATTTCAAAACAATAAAATAAGAGTTAAGTCGAAAAGTTGCCAGTTAAGTCAAAAAAATTAAAATACAATAAAATAAGACTTATTAATATTTCACACAAGATTTTTTTAAATATTTCAAATATTGACATAAAATATTGTAAGAAACAATTGTAACTTTCGCAGTAATGTAAATTAATTTAATTTAATCCTTACGAAAAAATTCTCTACAAAATCTTGCAGAGAACTCCATAAGAAAATCTTGCAGGAAGTTCTGCCGATTTTCTGGAGAACTTCTCTGCGGAATTTTTTCATAAGGAAAATTTATAAATTGTTTTACAATTTTTTGAGTTGGTTTCAATTAAGTTTACTTGTAATTTAAATTTTAAAAGTTTTTTTAAGTTATTTAAGCACAAAACAGTGGAAAAAATATGTAGGAATAATTCATAAATCATTATCAGCTATAATATAAAAAAGTTTTGCATTTCTGTAATATCATGTCTCTTCCCTATTATAACATTTTTTATTAAAACATTTTTATTGCATTTACCTGCAAGTTACGTGCTTTAATCCTTTCTTCATAATTTAATTCATATAGATTTGAATTATTTGTAGAGTCTGCAATACAAATTATTTTCAAATTCTATAAACATATGTAAAGGGACTATTCAAGCATTACGTAAATATGTACAGACAGGAGATTGACGGAAATCTTAGTTTGCATACAGCGAAGTTAATTCAGGTGTTTATATTTTTTAAAAAATTTACAAAATATTACTTTAAAGTTTTTTTGAATATAAAAATAAACATGATTTTATGAGGTTGTTTTTTTGGTAATGCTAAGTCACACAAATTCCATGACTTCCCGAATTTCTACATGATTAAGAATATTCCATGACTTTTCCAAACTTTCCAAGATTTTATGACTACTGGACTTCTTGCCTTGTTAATTAATAATAAATTATTGTTTTATACATGAAAAAGGATGTATTATTTTGAGAAATCACAAAAATAAAAAACACACAACTTTTATGGATTATTCATTACAAAAATAAATTGTTAATTTAAATTAAAAAGTTCGTATGAGGAGAGTATTTTACTTACAGTGAAAATATTACAAAATACAATATAACGTAAGATATTTTGTATCCTGCCTCTACCCTCCTGTAAAGAATTGTAAGAAATTCTAAGTAGTATTCACGAATCATATAAGCACTGTATATTTTTTGAAATGCCTCCTTACTAAATGTTTAGGCTGCATGGATGAAGAAAGATTCAAACAATCTCCAAAATATGTTTACGTAACACTTGAATGGTATTATGTTTCTACAACAATATTCTTTATGCAAACATTCCTATAAAAATATTAGAAACAGCAATTTTAAAACTGTACTAATGTTATAGACTAATAAATTTCTACTATTTTGCAAGATTAAAAGGTTTAGAAATATACAGGGTAGGCTATTTTAATTTACCCACTAAAGTAACTTTTTAGAAAAACATTTTACAGAAAAATGATTCAGACAAAAGTTACATGATTTTAAGGGGGACATAAGGTAGTGTCATTGGTTTGATCGTTTGAAGATCACGTAAAGATTGAGCGATATGATATATTCGATATATTAATTATAAAGTAAAAAGTCGAACCTTTAAATATTTCAGCTTTTATTCGCTGTCAATCAGTGTCTGATGTCTCGGGAAACTCGGGATCCCAAAAACCTTTAAAAAGATTATATTTATTATATATAATATATAAAAAATAATAATAAAATAAAATATTATACCTGGTGGTGTATTTGGTCGCTTATATTTGTGTCGATGTCGCGAGATTTGATTTTTTCGTTTTTGCAATTGTTCTTCCGGCAATCCCAAATTGTTATAATACTAAAAGTAAAAATCGAATATCACGAATTACTTTTTTATGAGAAAAATATTTATTTTTATTTATATTTATAATTTTTTTATTTATATTTATTTATTTATATTTCTTTATTTATTCATATGTTATATAACTATACTGTTAATATTGCATTACCTCTCTGCATTCCCAGCAATCCGAGCCCTTCAGCTTTGCTCTGTCAGCTTTACATCGTATGTTAAGATGTTTTGTAATGACCTTTCTTTTTGACCTTTTAAACTTATTCAATAACGTCTTCTTTTCAGGTAGCTTGTTTTCTGTGTCATCCATATCATTTAAATTTGTAACTTGCTCTGCAGGCAGATAAAAAGTTTCGTGTTTGTAGGCAAAATCATTTATATTACAACTTATGTTATTTTTACCTTTCAATGTATTAACTGCAGTATTAATCAAGAATTTATTACTTTCCATTTGCGTAGAAGTATAAGTACTTTTCGAGATATTTTAAATTTCGTCCTGATACTTTTTAATATAAAATATAAAATATCTCATATTCACTTTT